AAAGGGAAAACCATCATTGTGAATAACAGCTTCTCCTACCACTACTTAAAGAGATCCTGTTGTCAGACTATACATTTCAGCATACATCTTCTCACATGAAACAGTATGTGGTTTTAATGTTTTCTTATGCATGTTATTTACCTGTAAAAGCCTCCTTTGTGTAGTCATCCAAAAGCCATGAAACTGCTGCTGGGCTCTGCCATCTTGGATGTGATGTTGGCAGCCACAGTAGACTGCTGGCACTTTTAAAACGGTAGGTGCTGTTTCCTACTACTGTTATTTTATCTTATACTGATACCTAGTGGCTTCTATTGCGGATACTAGACTGTTGAGTGGTAATACTGCATTTGCTGCTGCTATTGCTAATTATTCTAATAAACATTAGCTCTGGTACTGTGATACTGCCATTACCTATGTAGCGGCCTCTAGTGCTAGATGGGATTTTTTGTGATCTAGAGGCTTGTTAGAAGCCTTGGGTGAGTCAGCCTGGGAGTGAGATAGTGGGTTCACCTTAGGACAGGCTGGGAGGCTCTACAGTTCAGGGCTTCTGGAGCCCTCCCACCATTCCAGAAACTTCTGGCACTTTCTGGAAGAGGGTGGAGGAGAGGAAGAGACCCAGATTTGCATGATTAGAGAAACTTTGCCAATGCCCAGGCAGGGGGCTGGGCATGGTGGCCAAGGGCAACCTGTAAACATGACAGAGCCTATGCAGCAGGGGAGCCGGGTGGAAGATGGACTGAAGGAAGGTGCTGGAGAATGTATCCTGGGAGGGGGCCCCAGGGAGGGAGGAGCCTACTTACAGGCTGATTGCTGCACAGAAGGATCTATACTGTGCCAACTGTTCTAGGGAGGACATCCTGTCAGCAGGGAAGGAGCCAGATCACCATAAGACTTGAAAGCAGCTGCAACCCACAAAGCTAACAGGACAGGACAGTGTGATTACTTCTACACCCCCTTGGCCAGATAAAGGGAGAAGGCGGTCAGGTGCAAGACCCAACTAGTTCTCATCTGGGACTAAAGTGGCAGATCTTAGAATCCCTTGCCCAGGGATACCCTCAGTGCAGCCAGGTGAAGGAGGAAGGATTCATCTGGGGTTTGAGGAGGTACATTGAGGGGACTTCAGTGCTCCTTAAAGAGACAGTGTTGTTTTTCTGATCCACATTTTTGTACAGTTTACAGTTTGCTAAGAAGTTTGTCCTCAAGTTTACAGTTCCTTGGGCATCCCTTATACCCCTAGACCCCATCCAAATTGTTAACTTCTCAATAAAAACAACAAGAAAACAGCTCAAGGACTATTTTATTAACTCTCTGTGTGATGATGTGGAAAACGTGTTGCCTGGCCGTGATACTAAAGCTTCATTTCGTTTTTTTTAAAATAATTAACAGCTTCCGAACCGCCCGATAGCAGAAATACTACTACAGGGCGATATTGGGTGCGCAAAATCACATACATATACATGCGCACCCTACCCGTGCCGTCATTTGTGGCCTCGGCTGTCAATCACCAGGTCCAGGCATAGCATAGCCATACAAAGGAGTGTGCTTACAGTGAAACACACACACATCCCACAGAGTAAAACAGCACACAGTTAACCCTTTGATCGCCCCACATGTTAACCCCTTCCTGCCCAGTGCCATTAGTACAGTGTCAGTGCTCTTTATTAGCATTGATCATGTATTGGTGCCACTGGGGATGTCAGTGACACTAAGTCAGTTCCCCCCAGTGTCAGAATGTCTGCCGTAGTCCCGCTATAAGTCGCTGATCGCCGCCATTACTAGTATTTCTTTTAGCAAAGACATGTATCAAAATACATTTTGACCTAAATTTTTGACAATTTGATTTTTACATTTTTTTACTGGACATATTTAATAGCAAAAAGTAAAAACATATAGTTTTTTTTCCAAAATTGTAGTTTATTTTTGTTTATAGCGCAAACAATAAAAGGCACACAGGCAATCAAATACCACCAAAAGAAATTTCTGTTTGTGGGAAAATAAGGATGTAAATTTCATTTGGGTGCAGTGTTGCAATGTCAGTTACAATAACGCAGTACTGTATCACAAAAAATGACCTGGTCAGGAAGGGGGTAAATCCTCTGGAGGGCAAGTGGCTAACAAACATGTTATACTTACCTGCTCTATGCAGTGGTTTGACACACAGCTGCCCTGATCCTCTTCTTTTTGGGTCCCTGCCAATGTTCCTGGCTCCTCCTCCTTGAGCAGTGCCCCCAGAGAAAGCCCTTGCCTTGGGGACACTGCTATGTGCTTGCACCCGAGCTGCTGCTCTATGCTCCTATAAGAAACATAGAGCCGCAACTCAGCCCCACCCCCCGCTCTGTCCTTATTGGCTCACTGGCTGTGAGTGACAGACCCCACACAGCCAAGGCTATCATGAACATTGCTGGATCAGCAAGGGCTCAGATAAGAATTGGGAGGGGCTGGGGGGCCACTGAACACAAGGCTTTTTTACCTTTATGCATAGAATGTCCCGTCAAAAGGGATTCAGAGGCTATAAGGACACAGCTGCATCTCCCAGCTTGACATTTGCATGTCCCTGAATGCAGACAGTGGGAAGTCGAGACACTCACCCACAGGCACCTGCACAGATGCCAAATTGGAAGCAGCTGCTGTGTCTCTGCAGCCACCACATCCCAACACCTGTGCATTTCATGTGGGCAAACACAGTGCTCACATGGGTGTACACTTAGGTACACCTGTGTGAATAAGGGCTAACTGATGGAAGACTTTATCATCTTTGTTAAAATTGGGCAGATTTATAAAACATCAATTTGCCAGTCATTTACAGTTTTTTCTCCGCCAGAACATTGGCTGAATTTGCAAAGTTTGTTGGCCAGCTTTGTGCCCTTCCTCATTGAACTCAGGCACTTTTGTCACCATGCCAAACATGTCTTACTGATGTCAATATGTTTGGCAAGGTAACCATTAGGGAATGAGCATTTTCCAACATCAAAAATTGCCTCAATATTTTGTTGCTTCATGTTTCCTTTGATTTTAGTAACTAGTAGAGGCTCCTTTTATTTGCAGTATCTTGAACCAAGCATATTGTGTGGCTGTGGTCAGACCTGTGGAGTAGATAGGAAGTATTGACTCACTTCTGTATACAATTCTGTTTCAAAGTCTATTTTTGGAATATCTGTATTGAAAAGCCTGCTTCAGATCTCGCTACAGCATTTCAAAGGAATTGAGGTCATGATCCTTATTTAGTTGTTTGAAAAAGTTGAATTTCTCCTGTTTAAGCCTCTCCGTTGCTGATTTACCCTTGTATTTTAGATCATTGTTATGCTGAATGGTCCAACTTCATTGTGTATTTGATCACATATGCCCTGACATTCTGCCGTACAATTTCCTTATACAATTTGGAATGCACTGCTCTACAGTGATTGCAAACCATCAGTCATGAAGCAGCAGCAAGGATGAGGTTTTAATGTTAATTTTTTTTGGAAACATATTACTGAATATTAAGGAGTAACAATGCTTGGTGCACTGCTATAGTCCCACCCAATTTCTTAATTTGAAATAATGTAAGGAAAATATCAAATATAAAAATTAAAAAAATCAATAAATACATAAATATTAAAACAAGGATTGCTGCAACCACTAATATTATGAACAATGAAAAAAATGGTTTTGCTCTCCCTAAATGGTATCTAAATAAATTAAATACAACCCATAAATATATACAATAAACCAATAATCTTATGCATATAGACACAAATAATAACATGTGATACTGAGATCAATAAACATATGTGTGTAAACAAACAACATCACTTGATGACATAAATACGTGAAAACTAAACATGCGTCCTCAAAAACAGGGGATTAAAGTGACTTCTGTCACCAGTGAAGTGATAGATGAATGGCATAAATTGTGCCTCAATAGAAAGTGCCTTGCAAAAATAACTCACAACAAATGTGAATGCACTAAAGTAATAGGGGTCAGGATAAAAACCTGATAACAAAATACTAATTAAAACTAAAAACCAGAGTGTGGAGCCACAGTGTGGCGGTGGAGGCAGCAGCAATGGGAGGCCATACAGCACCCTATGAAAAAATGGAACCCACCAGCAGTGTGAGGAGACCTGAAATTGGCACATGGCAGAGTGTGGCGATGGAGACAGCAGCAATGGGAGGCCGTACAGGGACCCATGACACACTCTGGACCTGGCAGCAGCATGAGGAGGCGGTACAGGGGCCCATGACAGATTACGGGCCTGGCAGCAGCATGAGGGAGTCGGTACGGGGGCCCATGGCAGATTAACGGGCCTGGCAGCAGCAATGGGAGGCCATACAGCACCCTATGACAAAATGGAACCCACCAGCAGTGTGAGGAGACCTGAAAGTGGCACATGGCAGAGTGTGGCGATGGAGACAGCAGCAATGGGAGGCCGTACAAGGACCCATGACACACTCTGGACCTGCAAGCAGCATGAGGAGGCGGTACAGGGGCCCATGACAGATTACAGGCCTGGCAGCAGCATGAGGAGTCGGTACGGGGGCCCATGGCAGATTACGGGCCTGGCAGCAGCAATGGGAGGCCATACAGCACCCTATGACAAAATGGAACCCACCAGCAGTGTGAGGAGACCTGAAAGTGGCACATGGCAGAGTGTGGCGATGGAGACAGCAGCAATGGGAGGCCGTACAGGGACCCATGACACACTCTGGACCTGGCAGCAGCATGAGGAGGCGGTACAGGGGCCCATGGACAGATTACGGGCCTGGCAGCAGCAATGAGGAGTCGGTACGGGGGCCCATGGCAGATTACGGGCCTGGCAGCAGCAATGGGAGGCCGTAATCTACAGCACCCTATGACAAAATGAAACCACCAGCAGTGTGAGGAGACCTGAAAGTGGCACATGGCAGAGTGTGGCGATGGAGACAGCAGCAATGGGAGGCCGTACAGGGACCCATGACACACTCTGGACCTGGCAGCAGCATGAGGAGGCGGTACAAGGGGCCCATGACAGATTACGGCCTGGCAGCAGCATGAGGAGTCGGTACGGGGGCCCATGGCAGATTACGGGCCTGGCAGCAGCAATGGGAGGCCCGTAATCTGCCAGCACCCTATGACAAAATGGAACCCACCAGCAGTGTGAGGAGACCTGAAAGTGGCACATGGCAGAGTGTGGCGATGGAGACAGCAGCAATGGGAGGCCGTACAGGGACCCATGACACACTCTGGACCTGGCAGCAGCATGAGGAGGCGGTACAGGGCCCATGACAGATTACGAGCCTGGCAGCAGCATGAGGAGTCGGTACGGGGGCCCATGGCAGATTACGGGCCTGGCAGCAGCAATGGGGAGGCCCGTAATCTGCCAGCACCCTATGACAAAATGGAACCCACCAGCAGTGTGAGGAGACCTGAAAGTGGCACATGGCAGAGTGTGGCGATGGAGACAGCAGCAATGGGAGGCCGTACAGGGACCCATGACACACTCTGGACCTGGCAGCAGCATGAGGAGGGCGGTACAGGGGCCCATGACAGATTACGGGCCTGGCAGCAGCATGAGGAGTCGGTACGGGGGCCCATGGCAGATTACGGGCCTGGCAGCAGCAATGGGAGCCCGTAATCTGCCAGCACCCTATGACAAAATGGAAACCCACCAGCAGTGTGAGGAGACCTGAAAGTGGCACATGGCAGAGTGTGGCGATGGAGACAGCAGCAATGGGAGGCCGTACAGGGACCCATGACACACTCTGGACCTGGCAGCAGCAGAAGAGGAGGAGGCGGTACAGGGGCCCATGGCAGAGTGGCGAAGCGTAAGCAGCTTAAATTGAAGGCCATACAGAGGCCTATGTTAAAAATAATAACATGTTTGGGGCATGATTCATGGCGGATTTAGTCAGTTGTGTCAGGAACTGGTGGTTTGAAATCCAGACTAATCCACGCCTGATTCATTTTCACAAACGTGAGTCTCTCCACACTTTGGGTGGACAGTCGTGTCCTCCGCGGAGTTACAATACCTCCTGCCGCACTAAACACGCGCTCCGATGCCACGCTACTGGCCGGGCATGACAGCCTTTCAAGGGCAAATTCAGCTAGTTGGGGCCAAAGGTCAAGTTTCGTTGCCCAGTAGTCAAGGGGATTGTCTACCTCGGTTGGCAGGGTGCTGTCCAAGTAGGCCCAAGCCTGTTGTTTGAGGTCCTGCTCCAGGTCCACCTGATGCTGCTGCTGCTGCTGCGGCTGGTTAGTAGTTTCCTCACTGCGCTGGTGAAGAAAGCTACTCATCATCGACTGCAGACTGAGGCAGCCGCTGCTGGTGGAGCTGCCACTGCTCCTACCACCCCACCCCTCCCCTGCTGCCATGGCAGCGGAACGCGAGCGCACAGGGCCCACAGTGTCTGAGGATGGACGTTGGCGCAGAAAGGCAGAGACCAACTGACTACATAGGTGGTTTTTATAGTAAGTTATTTTGGCCTCCCTCTCAGCAGGTGTGAAAAAGGCCACCATTTTTGAACGGTAGCGAGGGTCCAACAAGGTGGACAGCCAAAAGTCATCCCTCTGTCTGATGGTTATTATTCGGCTGTCGCTACGCAAGCAACCGAGCATGCTATGGGCCATTTGTGCCAAGGAATGCGAGGGACTCCCTGCCTCCATCTCCACAGCATACTGCCACGGTGCGTCTGGGTCCTCTGTCTCCTCCTCCTCCTCCTCTACCAGATGCTCCTGCTCCTCCACTCCTGTCCGCTGAGTGGAAAAACCACCCATTTCACTCAATAATTCCTGAGCACCAATGTCCTCCTCTACCTCCTCCTCTTCTTCCTGTCCTGCCCCCACAGGGGTCATGTGGCGTTGAGATCTGTGCGCCACGTCTACCGCACCCTGACCAGCCATTGTTAACAGCATTTGTTCCAGGACGTGCAACAGAGGAATGACGTCGTTCATCATCCCATAGTCCTGCCGACTCACGAATAGCGTGGCCTCCTCAAAGGGCCTGAGCAAGCGGCAGGTGTCACGCATGAGCTGCCAATGGCTGACATCTAAGTTACACAGGGGAGTACCTTTATCCGCTTGTAACATCAGGAAATCGGTGATGGCCTTTCGCTGTTCGTAAAGGCGGTCTAACATATGTAGGGTTGAATTCCACCTTGTTGCAACGTCGCAGATCAGGCGATGCTGTGGAATTCCGTTCTGCCGCTGCAGCTCAAGGAGGGTGTGCTTTGCGGTGTAGGAATGGCTGAAATGCATGCAAAGTTTACGTGACATTTTAAGGATGTCTTGCAGTGGGATGGTGGATTTTAGGAACCGCTTGACAACCAGATTGAACACGTGAGCCATGCATGGCGCATGGCACAACCTTCCTTGACGCAGAGCAGACACCATGTTCTTTCCGTTGTCGGTCAACATGGTTCCGATTTTCAGTTTGCGCGGAGACAGCCATCTGTCGATTTCTCTGTTCATTACACTCAGAAGTTCCTCCCCTGTGTGACTACGTTCGCCAAGGCATACCAGGTGCAGCACAGCGTGACACCGTTGCGCCCTGCACATGTGATATGCCGGTCGGGTAATGGGACTTGGCACGGGGGTGGCGGCTGAGGACACGGCGGAAGAAGAGGTGGTAGAGGCGGACATCTTTGCTGGACCAAGGACGTGCAAACGTGGAGGCAAAAGCGGCGTGACCTGTCCAAGTTGCTGGTGCGGCTGTGCCGGCACCACGTTCACCCAGTGGGCCGTAAATGACATGTACTGTCCCTGACCGTAGTTACAGCTCCACACGTCGGCGCTGCCGTGCACTTTGGCAGAGACCGACATGCTCAAAGACTGGCCCACCATCTCTTCTACATGTGAATGCAGGGCTGGCACTGCCTTTTTGGCGAAGAAATGCCGGCTTGGCACTCTCCACCGCGGCGCGGCACAAGCCATCATTTCTCGGAAAGGTGCTGAGTCCACCACTTGGAAAGGGAGGGACTGCAGCACCAGCAACTTGGACAGGAGGACGTTCAGCTTCTGCACCGTCGGGTGCGTGCTCGCAAACTGTTGTCTCTTGGAAACGGATTCCAAGAAAGACTGCTGACGGAATCCGTGAAGAGGAGTAGCAGGAGAAGGAGCATCTGAACGAGCGGAAGATGCCAACGAGCGACAACTCCCCTCAGCAGAGGTGTTGGAGCCTTGACTGGCTGATAGAGGGCGATTGACGTCGGGTGACGGAGCAAGTAACGGAGGGGGGTGATGGAGCGGGGGCTGGGGCAGGCAGAACCGCCGTATCTTTATCACGGGTTTTCCCAGGCCACCGAATGGCGACGCTGCATATGCTGACGCAACGCTGTAGTCCCAACATGGGCCCCCTGGCCACGCTTGACTTTCTGGCCACATAGTCGACATACGGCTACGTTTACTTCCTCGGGCGGCTTGGCGAAAAATTGCCACACCGCCGAGTAGGAAACTTTGCCCCCGCTACTCCTCACTGGCTGACTGCTACTTCCTCCGTGCACACCGGCACCACTACTGGCCGTGGTGGTAGGCTGCAGTGGAGCTGGTGCTCTACTCCGTGGCCGTTTGCCTCCACTGACACTGCTGCTGCGACCCTGCTGCCTCCTGGGCAACCCACCGACTGTTTTGCTCGCTGCCAAGCTGGCACCCTCTTCTCCTGATGATGCGGAAGCAATAGCCTGATGATGACGAGGCTGCCAAGTGCGATCAGCCTCATCATCATCAATTAGGGTCTCCGCCTCACTACTAGCCCCCTCGGCTGCGTGTGGGTCAGGAGACAGACCTGTCTCTAGACCGGCTACCGAGCCACTCTCCTCGCCAGTACTTCTTCGCCTGGCTGCTGAAGAGGCGGATGTCTCCCCCCGTTCCTGACTGCCCTCTGTTAGCTCTTCCTCACTGTACAGTGGGGCTGAGCCCACAGCATGCGATACTTTGCTTGGTGAGGGAACACCAAAGGACAGGGGCAGGTAGAGGACACGTGATTTCAGTGGGCTTGCTCCCGGGCCATGCCAACTAACGGTTGTGTCTGACGTACCCACCGACCGTTGGCTGTAGGTGTCAGAGGTGACCTGGGAAGAGGAAGACGACCGAGCCAACCAATCGATGACGGCAGGCTTGTCGGTGGAGACACGACCGCTGGATGACACCGGGAGCACTTGCCTCTGGCTGCGACTAGTGCTGCCTCGACCCCCTTCCTCTGCTGCCACGTCTGCTCGCTCCTGAAACATTGCCTCCTCTGCCACTCCTCTGCGTGTTGTCTGACATACTCTTTAATTCAACGATTCTGTGTCCCTGAGTAACGATTCTGTGTCCCTGAGTAACAATTCTCTGTCCCTGAGTAACAATTCTGTGTCCCTGAGTAACGATTCTGTGTCCCTGAGTAACAATTCTGTGTCCCTGAGTAACAATTCTGTGTCCCTCAGTAACGATTCTGTGTCCCTCAGTAACAATTCTGTGTCCCTGAGTAACAATTCTGTGTCCCTGAGTAACAATTCTGTGTCCATTGAGTAACAATTCTGTGTCCCTGAGTAACGATTCTGTGTCCCTGAGTAACGAATCTGTGTCCCTGAGTAACAATTCTGTGTCCCTGAGTAACGATTCTGTGTCCCCTGAGTAACGATTCTGTGTCCCTCAGTAACAATTCTGTGTCCCTGAGTAACAATTCTGTGTCCCTGAGTAACGATTCTGTGTCCCTGGAGTAACGACTCTGTGTCTAAAACACAAAACTGTATATATACGTATGTGCATAAACACACATACATATAATTAAATCACACGTGCATATTGTGAAGTGAAAAAATAACCATAATAATGATATACGCAAACTCAAAGTCCAAAAATAAAATGTTGTAGGTGAACGAAACAGTTTAAAAGAGGATGATGTGAGAAAGAGTATCTGAATAAAAAAGAAGCCAGATATCTTGTTCCTGAAATGTGCAGAATTCCCATTATCTATACCATCCCGAAAATTCATAAAAATAATATTCATCCTCCGGGACGTCCTATAGTTAATGGATTGGATCCCTAATGGCACGATTGGGGCAATACGTGGATATGTTTCTCCAACCATTGGTGAGAGAAACTAAGTCGTATCTGAGAGATACTAAGCACTTAATACAAATGTTGGATATAGTAGATGGTAATGATGTGATCTTGGCAACAGCTGACGTCTCATCGTTATATACAATTATTGGCCATACAGAAGGGGTGGAAGCTACTGAATGGGGTTTAAAAGAATATGGAAATCTGAAAAGAGGGCAGAGAAAATATTATTTTGGAATGTTTTGAATTTTGCTTAAAACATAATTACTTTTGGCATATGAACGTATTTTATAATCAAATTAAGGGTGTAGCCATGGGAGCCCGTTTTGCTCCCAGTGTGGCAAACATGTTCATGGCATATTGGGAAGAGATGGCAGTTTATTTGAGTCCCCCAAAAGAATTAATATTGTTTAAAAGATATATATAGATGATATTATAGTATTATGGAAGGGAAGAGAAGAGGATTTATTATGTTTCTGTGAAAATCTAAATAGGAATAGTAAAAACATTGTTCTTACGTGGGAATATAGTCGTGAGCGGATTAGTTTCCTAGATTT